TGATGAAATGAAATGAAATGAAAATTTTTGAGTCACACCTAGTGACGCTCAGGAGTTACTACTGACTCTGCACTCAGGAATTACTCCTGGTGGTGCTTGGGGGACCATATGGGATGCTGGGATTAAATCCGGGTCAGTCGTTTACAAGGCAAATGCCCTCCCCACTGTACTATCGCTCCAGCCCCACCACCAAAAAATTTTAAATTTCAGGATGAGGTCAGAAAGATTGCTTTAAAGGGTAAAACATGCTTCGCATGCATAAGCCCACATGTACCTTCCCAGAACCACATGGTCCCTGAAGACCATGGGTGTAGCCCTGAGCAGCAATGCATCACCATACCATATCACAGTCTATGCCAGTTAGCCGAGTAACCCTGGGGCTCGTGGCATTGCTAAGCCCTGCCCGCCCCCCCCCCCAAATACATAGGATTTCTAATAGATGAGAAAGTAACGCAGCTACTAATGGGTAACCCTGAGTCCCATCTCCCTGTAGGCAGAGTTCAGGATGCTGGCAGCCACTGGGGGCTGAAGTGTAACAGACAACCAGCTGGTGACCCAACTCCAAGCCAGCAACATCCTAAGTGAAATTTCTCAGTCCTTCCTTCACATTAATTTCCTTTTCATGACTTATCTTATTTCTCTGCTCCACATGGAATTTTTCTGAGGATTTATGAAGTACTCAGTCAGTTGTTCCTTAATTTGCTTATTGTGCTTCTTGGGTATTTATTTCTATTTATTTATTTATTTGCTTTTTTGGTCACACCCGGCGATGCACAGAGGTTACTCCTGGAGGTGCTCAGGAGACCATATGGGATGCTGGGAATCAAACCCCGGTCAGCTGTGTGCAAGGCAAAAGCCCTACCCACTGTACTATCGCTCCAGCCTGGGTATTTATTTCTAGAACCCACTTCCTTTTCCTTGTTTCAGCACGAAGGGTTGAATGATTTATGGTATCATTGAGTTCCTGGAGTGCTGTTATCTGTGTACTTAGCTGTAAAATCACCTGTTATTATGTCTGCTAATCATTCCGGTGAGGTTCGGTTGCTATGTCTTTTGATTCTGACTCATCTTAGTAACAGCTTTCTTCTAAGAGACTCCATGAACCTGGAGGCGTCCCTGTGGAGTGGCGTAGCTTTTGTCTTTGCTCAGACCTTTGGGGATCACAAGTCCCAAATCATGTCTTGTTTTTTTCTGGGCCACGCCCCATGAGTGCTCAAGGGAATCTGTGCTGCTGCTGATCAAATCTGGAAACCCACATGGAAGCATGTTTCAGCACTTTGAGCCATGCATGTTCTCAGCTCCCAATTTTAGGGTTTTTTTGGGGGGGGGGAGGGCACTTTTGTTCACACCAGTAGCACTCAGGGTACCATGTGGTGCTGAGGATCAAACCAGACTCAACCACATCATCTTAACTTCTGTGCTATCTGGCACCAAGCACTCGTCTTTTTTCTACACATTATGTTGTGAGACCCATTCATGCCATTATGTTAATCATATGATGACTGTAAGACATGTCGCTGTTCTCTGAATTGGCCACAATTTGTTCAATTTCTTATTGAAGAATATTAGGTTGGTTTTTCTTTCCCCCTTTACAAACATAGCCAAGGATTTTCATGTATAAACTGTGTACAAACTCACACATAGAAGTAAAAATACTGGGTTGAAGAGAACATGATTCATTTTCTACATCTTATCAAGTTGGTTTTCTTTTTTCTTTTTTTTCTTTTTGGGTCACACCCGGTGATGCTTGGGGTTACTCCTGGCTTTGCACTCAGGAATCACTCCTGGCAGTGATCGGGGGACCATATGGGATGCTGGGAATCGAACCCGGGTCGGCCGCGTGCAAGGCAAACACCCTACCCACTGTGCTATTGCTCCAGTCCCTCAAATTGGTTTTCAAATGGATTATATAGCTATTCTTATAATCACTGGCCAGAGGTTTTCTTGGTTGGTTCTAGGATTTGCTCCCAATTTCTTTCACAAGCTCTGTTGTCACAAGTCTGTATGTACTCCATGGGCCAAAGCACGTGGAAGTGACCCCAACCAATAGCCAAAAACTAGTTGCTGAGCACCTTGTCTCCTGGGATTCTTTGGATGCGACCTAGGGAGTTCAGTGTCTGCTGTGGGGGGCTGCCTGTTGAATGGGAGGGCTGAGGACTTCTCAAGTTGCTCCACTCTGTTGGATTTGTGGGGTATTTTGTTTGGTTGGTTTTTTTGAGGGGAGTGTTTTGTTTGGTTGGTTTTTTTGAGGGGAGTGGTCTTGGGGAAGCGGCGGGGAGGGGGGGGACACCTATTGGTGCTCTGGGCTTACTCCTGGCTCTGCACTCAAGAATCATTTCTGGTAGCTTCTAGGGCCTGAGAATCTTTAGCTTCTCAGTCCCTCACATATGGGATGCTTGGGATCAAACCAAGGTCAGCAGCATCCAAGGCAAGCGCCCTACCTGCTACTCTTTCTGGCTCCAAGTTGTTCCACTTTGTAAGTCTGATGGGATGAGGAAAAGCTAGCATCTGAGATTGCTGTGATCCTAGCTATGGCAACTTCACAGCCAGGAGTGTGACCAAACTATTCAAGCACCACAACTAAGTGTGTAACCCCCGTTCATGACATCAACAACAGGAAAATGAGAGGTGAAAAATAGAAAATAATTTCTGGGGCAGGAGCAACAGTAAGCAGAGGAGGGTGTCGGCCTTTCACAGTGGCCACCCTCGGTTCGATTCCTGGCATCCCATATGGTCCCCCAAGCCCTACCAGGAGTGATCCCTGAAGGCAGAGCCAGAAGTAACCTGAGCATCACTGGGTATAGTCCCAAAACAAAGCAAAACAGGAATTTCTATGCCCGGGTCAGAAAAAACACATTCATCTCCACTATAACTAGCTCACTTTATATTCCAAAAATGTCACAGGAAGGATCCCAGCAGGGCAAGGAAAAGCAGAAATGGACAAGAAATGAAGTTGTGAGGGACTAAGGAAAGGCATGATAAGGCTCATACTTTTTTCTTTGGTAGTACAGCACCCTACCTACTGTACTATCGCTCTGGCCCTAAGGTATATACTTAACCTTACCAAACTGATTAGGCTCTGGAGGTTAAGCTAAATGGGGCTTACTATGTGCTTGGTGCTCTTTTCCATCTATTTCCATAGCCCATCTCCAGTAAGTTTTTCAGGACAATTCAGTATTTTTTGGTTATACCCTGCTGTGCTCAGAGATCACTCCTGACAGTCAGGGAGCGAAGGATAGTAGGCTGTGTGCCAGGCAAGTTCCTCAACCCCTGTACTCTCTCTGGCCCCTATCCTTTCAATACGGAAGGAACTAAGAGTTCTTTTTTTTTAACATCCAGCAGTATGGGGAAATTGATTCCTAGTACTAGTTCTGGGGACTGTGCATTACTGAGGATTGAATCCATGTCTCTGAAATGCAAAACCTGACCTTCAGACCATTGAGACATTTTCCCCAGCCCCCAAAATTTAAATATTTATGGTTTGGTTTCTATGACCTTGAACCTTCAACATTTTTACCAACACTGCTCCCAAGGCTTTATCTCCCCAGGCAACAAGGATCTTTTGTATATTTGTTTTTAGGCCTCAAGATACTGTACTCAGGGCTCAGTCCTAGCTCTGTGCTCAATAATCACCCTGGTCCAGGAACCTTACAGGTACCAGAGATAAATCCAGATGCACTGAGTGTGAGGTAAGTACCCTTACCCTCTGTAGTGTCTTGAGGCCCCCAAAAGATTCTTTTGGAGCCACCACCAGTGATGCTCAGGGGTTACTTCTGGCTGTGCTCATGAAACCATATGGATGCCAGGGATTGAAACCACATCGGCCACGTGCAGGGCCAATGCCCTCCTCACTATACCTTCTATCCACCCACCATCCCCCAAAGATCATTTTTAAGATTTAAATGACTAGAATAAATCACTCTATTAAAAAGATTTAAATCCTTGGGGCTGGAGCGATAGCACAGTGGTAGGGTATTTGCTTGCACAAGGCTGACCCAGGTTCAGTTCCCAGCATCCCATATGGTCCCCTGAGCACCGCCAGGAGTAATCCCTGAGTGCAGAGCAAGGAGTAATCACTGGGTGTGGCCCAAAAAGCAAAAAAAGAAAAAAATCCCCACACCCAGCAATGCTCTGGGCTTAGTCCTGGCTCTGCACTGAGAACACTCATGGCAGATTGGAAGACCAGATGAGGTACCAGAATCCAGGTAGGCTACATACACCCTGCCAGCTGCACTCAATAGCCCCCAGGAATCTTTTTTGGGGGGTAAAGGGTTGGGCATGGAATATGGGAATACTGGTGGCGGGATAAAGTCACTAATAAGTTTTTAGGCATATATTTCTACACTATCAATGACTTTGAAAACCAAATAAAAAAACTATAAAATGTTTTAAAAGGGACATGATACAGCAGTTAAGGCACTTGGCTCACACCACCAGGTGGGAAGCCCCAAATAATTTATTCTAATCAACTTTGAGAGCAAGTTCCTTTTCAATAAAGCTAATCCAAAGTCCTGAGACAAGGACTAAAGTACAGGTGTTAACTGCCCCAAGGTAATTCCAATTAAGTTAGCAAAAGGAATGATAAGGAAAGTCACTGGGCAACTGACCTGGGTTCAATACCCAGCACACTATTTGGTAGTCCCACCGGGTGCAGCCAAGGGAAAAAGTCAATTACTGAATTATAAGTCATAGAATCTAGCAGTAAACATACTTCAATCTTTTTCACACTTAGGGGCACCACATTCATAGCACTATGCCATCCCTAAAGTTTAAACTATTCCCAGAAAACCCGGTTAATACATAAACCCTGCACCAGGAGTGACCCCTGAGAGCCACTGTGTGGCCCCCAAACAAAAGTCTATTGGTATCAATGTGTCTTATGATCCAATTATATATTGCTCAGCTGTAAAGATGCACCCAGATGTCAACTGTGATCTTTCACTCTGTACCACTTTTGTACATTCTTTGTGCCATTTTTCAGGAGACCAGACTGTCTTTCATAAAAGCATTTTATTGGGTTTTATATCTTTTGGATATAAGTACTTGTTTTTAAATGAAAAGAGCTGAGTGGTAGGTGTTGTGTCCAATAATCCACGATTTCCAAGTACAAGATCACCATGAAGATTTCCTTTGTGTCAGCAAAATCCTGAAAGTTCATATATAACATGTTAGACATATGCAAGTATCCTCAAAACACAATGCTTGAGAACTGGGGTGATCTAGTTTAAGTGGTAAAGCATTTGGGGGCTGGAGAGATAATACAGCAGCTAAGGGCATGTTCCTCGGCATCCCACGTGGTCCCCTAGCACCTCCAGGAACAATTCCTGAGGGAAGAGCCTGGAGAAACCCTTGAGCATCACTGGGTGTGGACCAAAAACTGAACGAAAAAGTGCACAACCCTAATTTTTTCATGTTTTTGGGCTATAACCGGCGCTGCTCTCTTGACCCGGGTCAAAAGAGATGCCTGCTGAACATTCTGGCCCAGAAACACCCCCAATTTTTAAAAAGAAAATTTGGCAGACACTCACCTTTGTAGTCTGGGAGTCCTCTTCACTTGCCAGAGGCAGCCGGTGCTCTCATGAACTGTACCCTAGGATTCGCAGCACCCTCAAAGGCATTTCTCAGATAGCAGGCCCCAAGCCTCAGCCACCGGGTTAGCACTGATCTCTGAAGGGACTCATCCCTGGCTAGACCTTCAAGCCAAAGCTTTCCAGCTAAAAAGATGGAAGCAAGAAAATCACTAAGGACATGCAGACCGAGTTTCTGCTGACTCCTCTCAGAGACCAAATATCCAGTTCCTCAAATGAGTCAGAATTTAAATTTGACATCAGGCCTAGTGTCAGAGACTCTAGTCTGAGAAATCATCATTCCCAATTTGGAGAAATCTGGATCAAGGGCAGACGATCTGGAAAATGACAGAGCATCCAACAGTTTCAAAAAAAAGTAAGCTCAGAAATAGGTGGAGGAGTGAATAAATGTAAAACCACAGAAGAGCTCCGCAGTAAGAAAAGGGGTGGAGAGGAAAAAGGATGCTTAGGTAGGAAAAAGTGCTCCCTCGTGTAAGGCTTGAGTATATGGAGCACAAGTAAACGGTCCAGGAGCCCGAGTGTTAACAAAGAGGGCTAAGGAGCAGATTTAGTCAGTCACATAGCTTTAAGAAAGTAAAAGCAGCAAAGCGGTCCCTGGAAAACCAAAAAAAAAAAAAAAGGCGCGCTGGCGCATGCGCTCATTGGAGTAGGCTCCGCAGCACTCACGCAACGCTCACCTGTACTCAATCACAACCAGGAGATCGCCTTGAATACCTATAGAGAAATTACAAATAAGTAAACCCAAGAACGCCAGCTCTTTTCCCCACGCCCCAGGTACCAGCATCCCAAACGGCTGGGGGTGGTCAGCGCGCTGCGGTGATGGCGTCAGCGAGACACTCAGAGTCACCTGGGTCATCATCACCACCCCCCCATCCGTCCCCGAGGCGACCACCAGCCACCCGATTCCGCTCGGTACTTGCCTCCGTGGCGCCACGGTCCACGTGCATGGGTCCGGGGCCTAGGAAGAAAACCACCGTGTCAGTAAAGGTCGGGGTCACGCTAGCTCAGTCTCCCCTGCCCCGGGCCGGGTCAGTTCAAAGAGCGGCGTCACGGGGACATCAGAAACTCTAGTCTGTAAAGGTAGTTCATCATGCTCGGCCCAAGACTAAGTTCCCCCCCACACACAGCAGGGACCCAAATTACCTGGCAACCAGCGGTCATGTAAGGAAAACGTAGAGCTCCTGGGACGTCGCAGTCGTCCCCTCGTGTGCGGGATCCCCGCAGTTTACCACAATCCATCGGAACCGCCATGCTTTCTGCACAAAGAGAACGCCAACGGCGCGGTGAGGGTTATTTATGGCGGTTTGGAGTCGGGGTCCTGACAGGCATAGCTGTTTTTTTTATGCCTGTCTCGCCCCGCAGAATTGCCCCCTTTTGTTGGCCCAAACAAGAACATGAAAAAATTTAAAAACAGATAATAAACGATTGTCTCACACTCCTAGATCATACGAATGATCGTATATGTCTTGTGATTCATTTTTAAAAAACTAAAAAACAGGTGACCTGATTAGACAGACCAGAGAAAGACCCCGCCGCCGGCCAGAGGTCGCGCGGAGGGCTCTTCCTCAGCAACTTCCACACGTGCGCCCTCTAGAGTCTTTAGCAACCACTGCGCTTCCGTTGCGTCTCCCCAGGACTAGTTTGGAGTCTTTGGGGTCACGGAAAGGAATAGTTACGACTGTGCTTGGTCAAAATCTGAATCCACTATCCAATTCCAGACCGCAGACCCGTCAAGCATATTATGCGTCATGACTTTTTTTTTTTTCGGTTTTGCAGGGCTCACGGGCTTACCCCTTGGGTAACGCGGCCCGTAGGCCTTAGGGAACCTGGAGTGCCTCCTTCCTAACTTCCTGCTCCCAAAGCTTGCTCTCAGCCCTTTCAGCTGTCTCGCCCCGCCTCCCCCGCCATTTAAATAGTTTTATTGAGGTATAATTGACATGCAACAAATAACATGTTTTAAATATATAATTTGGTAATGTTTTATTTCTGTATTTTGTTTTTGTCATGGGGCCACACTGACTGTGCACAGCATTTATTCCTGCTTCTGTGCCCAGGTATCACTCCTGGTGGTCGGCGAACCATATGAGATGCCAGAGATCGAACCCAAGACAGGTTTAGCCTGTACATAGGTTTTTTAAAAATCAGCCTTAGTGGCCAGAGTGCTAGTACAACGGGTAGGGCGTTGCCTAGCACATGCCAACCGGGTTCAATCATGGTACTATACATTGTCCTGCCAGGAGTGATTCCTGAGCACCACCGGCTGTGGCCCCCCAAACCAGGAAAAATAAAGATCAGCTTTTTTTCCTGCCAGAGTTGGCTCAGAGGGACAGTGTGCATGATTTGCATGCAGGAGTCCCTATTCTTTGTTGGCACAACATGGTTCCCAGAGCACAAGCACCACCTGGAATAGCAAGGAAAAGGAATTAGGGTCAGCCCAGGTATATAACCCAGTAGTAGACACCCTGAACACTGACAGGAGCAACCCCAGAGTGGAGCAAGGAGTAACCCACAGCAACAAGCCGCCTCTGGCTCAAATCATCTTAACCATCTTAAGTCTGTATAGAGTTAAGTGTTGGAGTACACAGAGCTTAGGTTTATCAGGTTACACCCATCACAGTGCTCCCGAGTCATTCCCATTACTTTGTCTGTCTGTAACTACTTCTATGCTCTCTTGCCCAACCAATTCGTAAGGTCTCATCCTTCTTAGACACTGAAGCTGTACTGTAAGTTAATATTGCCTTTCTCCTCTCCTTATGTCTTTTGAGCAGTTTACTTTAATGCAATGTCCTTTTGTATAGATACAGGAAGACAATTAATTAATATGCTCCGTAACTTAGGAATTGATTGGCTTTGAATATTATTCACTCCTGGGCATCAGCCTTCTCAACTTAATCCTCAGTTGCCCTCACTTCCTAGCACCCCAAGGGCAGGGTCCCGACGTGGGACTGGATGGAACCAGGGCAAGCCGGTAAGTTATGTGCTTCCCTGGCATTGCAATGGGCCAGGCCAAGGTGCCACGATTCTTAACTATAAATTAAGAGGTTGATCATAGGCAAATGATGTCATGATCCAAAAGTAACGACGAGACTAGGGCCCTGCTGCTAGGAATAGGAAAGATATCTGGCCTGAGCACTGCAGTCTGAGATCGAGATGGCCCTAGGAGAGCAATTCTATAAGCTCAAAGTATTTCTTACTGTGTCCATACAAAATGATTAACATTATGTATGCTTATATGTTGGTTGGACAAGGAGAGGAGAAACACATCCTAGAAGCAGTTTTCCTTTGTGTCCTGACTAGCTTGGATGAGACTGAACTTTCTCCCCTTCAAACTGCCTTCAGTAAATGATTTCAGTATATTGAGGTAGTTTTTCTTATCTCACAGGAACCTAGCTGGCCTTAGGTATACAGATCCCAGGTGCTAAACCAAGCCTGATCTTTGGGATGTAGATGCCTGGCTCCAGGCTGGCTGATTTTGGAGATGTAGATTCCAAGCTCTAGCAGACTGGTCTTTGTTGTGCTAATCTAAGTGCTTGTAGTTTGTAAAAAGGTGAGGCCAGGATTACTGGCCTACAGATGTAAAGAAACAATGTATGTTTTGCCTCAGTGTTCTTTCTGTAACTCCTTTTGATGACATCACTATATTGCGCCCTTTAGAGGTACTATGATCTATATAAGGGAGATTTCAGGGCTATCTGGGAGGACACGTGCATCAGAGAACCTGGGAAGATGGGGCTGAGGACAGAAGCTGAGAGAACAAAGGCGCACGTGCTTGTGGATTCCTGAGGCCTCCATGACATACATCTCTTCCATGTAATAAACGGCTGCTAAGACCAACCAGCTTGGCCTCGTTTCCTTCCTTCGCCTGACCATCACCATCGACCTCCCTGGAGTGGGGAAACGGCCTGACCACCGGCCCTTTTATTTTTTGTGTGTTTACACAGTTAAGTATATCTACATTGTTGTGATATATAAAACTTTTTCATCTTGTTAAATTGAAACTGCATAACAGTGTCTCCAACCACCAGTGTACATAGAGACAGACCAGTGCAGCATCCTGCAGAAGAATGAACGAATTGTAGAATGAATGAATGACCCGTCACTGTCTACCACCTTATTTATGCTGTCTGAAGGTATGAGAAGATTGAAGAATTCTGTTTTATACTCAGTAAATTATTCTCCATCCCCCACCCTTTATTTGTTGTTGTTGTTTTGGGTCACACCTGTAGATGCTCAGGAGTTACTCCTGGCTCTGCACTCAGCAATTACTCCTGGTGGTGCTCAGGGCACCATATGGGATGCCCAGCATAAAACCCTGGGTAGACCGCATGCAAGACTAATGGTTTACTCACTGTATTGTATCTCCGGTCCCTTAGTTTCTTTTTTTAATATAACCATCACTGCGTTGGTGAGAAAATGCTGAAGTGTTCAGTACGTACTGAATAGCACCAGATGTCTTAGTGTTAGAGTGAAAATAAATTTCAGTATAGGGGCAAAAGCCAGACCCTATTGTTTCCTTGCTGGTTTTACTCTTAGAAATGGCTAAGTAGGGGCTGGAGCGATAGCACCGCAGGTGGGGTGTTTGCCTTACACGCGGTTAACCCAGGTTCGATTCCCCACATCCCATATGGCCCCCCAAGTACCGCCAGGAGTAATTTCTGAGTACATGAGCCAGGATTGACCCCTGTGCATTGCCTGGTGTGACCCCCACCAAAAAAAAATATGGCTAAGTAGGGGCCCCAGTGACAGCATAGTGGATAGAACACGTCCCTTGCATGTGGCGGACCCAGGTTTAATCCCTGGCACCCCCATATGGTTCCCTGAGCCCTACCTGAGAATTTCTAGGTGCAGAGCCAGAAGTAACTCTTGAGCATCACCATGTGTTGCCCTCCCAAAAAAAAAGCAAAATAAGAAATCAACCTGTCATTTGCTCTTGGCTTTTAATCTAACAACTTGTTTCAAATAACACTTTTCTGAATCCTTCTGATCCACTCAATAATATTATTGTTGGGGGCCAGAGAGATAGAACAGCGGGTAAGATGTAAAGGTTAGTACAATCTTGTACATTGCCAACCTGAGTTTGATCCTCAGAATAGTGTTAGCCATTCATAAATAGTGGTGAAGTATGTTGACATATTTTTCTTCATCCCTTATGAAAAGGCAACACTAAAGGATGATTTTGGAGCTCCATATAATCCAAAATCAGTTATCTTTTTGAGTCACATACTTTAGGCCGAGTGAATATAGGATATTTAGAAGGCCATGAGGGTGTAGGAAATAAAACCTTCTACTTCAGTACTTTGTCTATCCTCCCTTCCCTTGCCCTGGGACGTAGGCCTCCTGTTCCATGGGGTATAGACCTCCTGTGAAGCTTAATCTTTTCTAAGAATCCTGTAGTGTTCATCTGTTTATTTCATACATTTCTCTGTTCTTAGGTGCCCAGTTTCACTGTGGTTGATGTTACAATGTGATTTTGCTTTAAGTTTCAAGATGTCTCTGTGCAAAGGTAGGCATTGAGTTCTCATTTTCTGACATTGCTTCCTTTATTTTTTATTTTGTTTTATTTGACTGCATCTGGTTGTGCTCAGGGCTTACTCCTGGCTCTGCACTCAGGGATTATTCCTGGATGTGCTCGGGAGATCATATGGAGTGCCAGGGATTGAATCTGGACAGACCTTGTGCAAGGCAAGCTGCCTGCATGCTGTTCTGTTGCTCAGGCCCTGACACTGCTTCCTCCAGGAACTGTTTTCCTAATGAGGGGGTCTTGAACTTAATTGGTCTAGCCTTAATCTTTTTGTCTATTGAACTGTTCTCTTGTTGGAGATTTCCCTAACTGCTATCATTGCTGATAGGGCTAGTGAGTCAATACTATCGGGCCTTACAGAAACCTCCCAACTCCTAGAAAATTGGTTAACATCAGTTGCTGCTCATGGAAGCACTGGCAACTTCCTGTTCACCTTCATTTGTGTTTTGTTTAGTTTGGAGGCCATACCTGGCAAATGCTCAGGGGCTACTGTGGGTTTGGTGCTCAAGGGCCACTCCTAGCTATGCCCATGGGACTCTGGAGGAACTCTTCTAGATTATTGTGCAGATCCTAGAAAAGGACCATGTTACAAGAAACAGTGCCATCCTCCAAGGATCCATTAATCATTAATGCCAGCCAAACTGCCTCTGGACAGAACTTCCTGCTCTGTACATGACCATAAATTTCATCTTTAAAAAAGAATATATATATAAATATATATCTATAATTTGGGGGGGGACTATACCCTGCATTGTTAGGGGCACCCTTAGTAGTTCTCAGGGAACCATATGTTGTGCCAGGAATCAAACCCAGGTTGACCACATGCACATGCAAAGCAGGTACCTTCACCCCATTGCCATGTCTCCAGGTCCTACTGTAAATATCTTATTTTCTTTCTTTTTAAAAATTTTTTTGGGGGCCACACCCAGCAGTGCACAGGAATTACTCCTGGCTTTGCACTCAGGAATTATTCCCGGCGATGCTCGGGGGACTATATGGGATGCTGGGAATCGAACCCGGGTTGGCCGTGTGCAAGGCAAACACCATACCCGCTGTATTATCGCTCCAGCCCCAATTTCTTATTTTCCCAAATAACCCTATATAAACTCCTAGCCCTAAGCTGAGAGGAAGATTGGCAGGGTGGGGTATGAGCCTCCATCTTCTCAGGTTGCTAGTCCCTGAATAAATTCTTTCTCCCATCAAGATTTTGAAAATTAGTTAATTAAAAAATATTTTTAGTCACCATGAATATAAAGTTATTCATGACTGGGTTTCAGTCATGCAGTTTTCCAACACCAATACTTTCACCGGTGTCCACTTCCCTCAACCTATGATTCCCTCCCACCTATCAACCTTCCTCTATAACAGGCACTTTTTTTTTTGCTTTTTAGGTCACACCCGGCGATGCACAGGGGTTACTCCTGGCTCTGTGCTCAGGAATTACCCCTGGCGGTGCTCAGGGGACCATATGGGATGCTGGGAACTGAACCTGGGTCTGCCGCGTGCAAGGAAAACACCCTACCCGCTGTGCTATTGCTCCAACTCCTATAACAGGCATTTTTAAATAAATTTTTAGCATTTTGGCTTGTAGTACCATTACTGAGAGGGCTTCATACATAACACTTTACCACCTCTCAACATCCCCTTCTCCTCCTTCTCCCATCAATTTTTGTCTCTTATAACTGCGAGCACCTGAAGTTGGGTTCAGTAACAAGGGGGCTAGAGTGCATGTTGTGTGCAGGGGGCCTAGATTAAATCCCCAGCACTACTACATGGGTGCCTGAGCACTGGCCCAGGAATAAGACTTTAACACCACTACGTGTGGCTTCTAGTCCCACAACAACCCTCCCCCCCAAAAAAAAGCAATCGGCCTAGGAAAGAGTAACAGTTCTTTTAGTTTATTTTCTTTAGTTTCAAAAGGGATTTCTAAAATTTGTCATTCCTGAAATATTTGATCTTTTCACCCTAAGGGTAAATATTTATTGAAAGATATAATAGGCAGGCTTGGGGGGTACATGCCTGGAATGCGCAGAGACCCAGGCTTGAACCCTGGCTCCAAACGGCCTCCTGAGCACCGCCAAGTGCCCTGGTGCCCCCCAGTTCTGCTAGGTAAGTCCCCAAACAAAAGAGTAAAGATATAAAAGGGCATTTTAATTGGAACCACCTATTTCTCTGCACCCCCCACAACTTTTTGTTTTGGGGGAGCCACACCCAGCAGTCCTCAGTGATCACTACTGGTGGTGCTCAAGGGACCATATGGGATGTAGGGATGAAACCTGGGTTGCCGGTGTGCAAGGCAAGCACCTTGCCTGCTCTATTACACTTCAGCCCCTGCAAATTCTTTTAATTAAAAAAGTTTTTAGGCACTGTGTCATGCAATACATTAATAGGGTTTTTCATATAAATTATTCCACCACCATACTCTCCAGAGTGTTCACCTCCCTCCACCATTGTTCTGGTGTCCACCCATCCTATTCGTACCCCACCCCACCCCCAAACACAAAATGTTTTCGTTTTAAAGGCGGCAACCATGAATGAAGATGTCTCTGCAGTAAAGCACAAACATGTTTTATTTGCATGAGTTCTGGGTTTGATTCCCGGCACCATAAAAAGGAAAGAAAAGTATGTGAGCCAGAGACATAGCACAGAGGGTAAGGTGCTTGCTTTGCACTGTTTCAATCTCTGGCACCCCATACAGTCCCCAGGCACCAATAGGCATGATCCTTGAACACAGAGACAGGAGTAAACCCGGAGCACTGCCTGGTATGACCCCAAAACAAAAAGAAAATAAAAGGGTGGCAGGAACATTAAGAGAGGGTTTACTTGCACTTGGTCACGTAGCTAGTCTTTATAGAGCCAGAGATCATGTCCGTGGCCTAATTTTGCAACCTAACTAAGGGACTCAAACAGTCAAAAGTGAAAAGTGAAAGTGAAGACTCTGAAAACATAAAGTGTAGGACAGTATGGAACCATAAACCCCCTCAGCTCTGCCATAAAACCCACACCACAATCAGCCTAACCAATGGCTGAATAAATAGCAATACTCCTTCATTGAAAAAAAAAACATCTTGCCTCTCAGAAACATTAGTGCATCTCCCATCCTTTTTCTCTAAAATAAGCCCCAACCAGGATTGGAACAATAATAGAGCAGGTATGTTTGCCTTTTATGTGACTGACCCACTCCCCAGCAGTACAAAGTGTCCCCTCCAAGTCCCACCAGAAGTGATCCCTGGGTACAGAGCCAGAGTATACCGTAAAAGCGGTCTCCCAGTCAAATCACAAGAGGCATTTGTTTCCGACACAAAGGTCACTTACCAGCTAAACAATTAAGCCCCAACAAAAATAGCCATGACTTTTACTCTAAATTTGTACCACTGTTCAGAAAGGTCCCTTTCTTATCTATGAACTTGATAGAGAAAAAGCCCACTTACCCCTCCCCAAATATAAATAGACACGTATATATTTTTTAAAATTTTTTATTTTGTATTCTTAAGTATACAGCTACTTTATAAAAGAAAATACAACCCACAACTTTTGGTGTGTATACAAGCAGAAAAACAGACACAAGGTGGCAGTGTTGATTCATTTACAAAGAAAAAAAAATTTTATGATATAAACATACATAAATACAAGGAACTCAAGCACACAAGGGTATACACCAGAGAGAAAAGACAAGTTCATTGTCAAGTTACAAGTAAATTTTTCAATGAACTCAAATAAAGGACAGAATGGGTGAATATAGGGCAGTATCAAGTCCTTGGATCACCAAAGAACAACAGGCAAACCAGGTTCTTAATCCACCTCCTCAATGGTAGGGCCAGACCCAGAGCCCCCTCGAGGGGCCTGAGCCCCAAAACCACCAGCCCCAGGGCCACCTGCCCCCTGGTACAGTCCACTGATGATGGGGTTACACACCTGCTCCAGCTCCTTCCTCTTGTGCTCAAACTCCTCCTTCTCAGCCAGGGAGTTGGCATCCAGCCAGGAAATCACTTCTTGGCACTTGTCCAGCACCTTCTTCTTGTCAGCCTCACTGATCTTGCCCTTGAGCCCCTCGTCCTCCAAGGCGCTCTTCATGTTGAAGGCATAGGACTCCAGCGCGTTCTTGGCTGACACCCTCTCACGCTGGACCTCATCCTCTGCTTTGTACTTCTCAGCATCCTGCACCATGCGCTCAATCTCATCCTTGCTCAGGCGGCCCTTGTCATTGGTGATGGTGATCTTGTTGGCCTTGCCTGTGCTCTTATCAGTGGCAGTGACATTCAGGATGCCATTAGCATCGATGTCAAAGGTCACCTCGATCTGGGGCACACCCCTGGGGGCAGGAGGAATGCCGCTGAGTTCGAAGCGCCCCAGCAGGTTGTTGTCGCGCGTCATGGCCCTCTCGCCCTCATATACCTGGATCAGCACGCCGGGCTGGTTGTCTGAGTAGGTGGTGAAGGTCTGAGTCTGCTTGGTGGGGATGGTGGTGTTGCGCTTGATCAGCGCAGTCATCACACCTCCAGCCGTCTCCAGACCCAGGGACAGGGGGGCCACGTCCAGAAGCAGCAGGTCTTGCACATTCTCAGACTTGTCCCCCATCAGGATGGCCGCCTGCACCGCCGCCCCATAGGCCACTGCCTCATCCGGGTTGATGCTCTTGTTGAGGTCGCGCCCATTGAAAAAGTCCTGCAGCAGCTTCTGCACCTTGGGGATGCGGGTGGAGCCCCCCACCAGGACCAGATCGTGGATCTGGGCTTTATCCATCTTGGCATCCCGGAGAGCCTTCTCCACGGGTTCCAGGGTGCCCCGGAACAGGTCGGAGCACAGCTCCTCGAAGCGCGCCCTGGTGATGGATGTGTAGAAGTCGATGCCCTCGAAGAGGGAGTCGATCTCCAGGTTGGCCTGGGTGCTGGACGACAGGGTCCTCTTGGCCCTCTCACATGCAGTGCGCAGCCGCCTCACGGCTCGCTTGTTCTGGCTGATGTCCTTCTTATGCTTCCTCTTGAACTCCTCCACAAAGTGGCTCACCAGCCTGTTGTCGAAGTCTTCCCCACCCAGGTGGGTGTCCCCAGCAGTGGCCTTCACCTCGAAGATGCCGTCGTCGATGGTCAGGATGGACACGTCGAACGTGCCCCCGCCCAGGTCGAAGATGAGCACATTGCGCTCCCCCTTACTGCTCTTGTCCAGCCCGTAGGCGATGGCAGCGGCCGTGGGCTCGTTGATGATGCGCAGCACGTTGAGCCCCGCGATCACCCCCGCGTCCTTGGTGGCCTGGCGCTGAGAGTCGTTGAAATAGGCGGGCACCGTGATCACCGCGTTGGTCACAGGGTGTCCCAGGTACGCCTCGGCGATCTCTTTCATCTTGGTGAGCACCATGGACGAGATCTCCTCGGGGTAGAAAGCCTTGGTCTCGCCCTTGTAGCTCACCTGCACTTTGGGCTTGTCCCCGTCACTGATCACCTGGAAGGGCCAGTGCTTCATGTCTGACTGCACCACCGGCTCACTGAACTTCCGACCGATCAGCCGTTTCGCGTCGAACACGGTGTTCTGCGGGTTCATGGCCACCTGGTTCTTGGCGGCATCGCCGATGAGCCTCTCGGTGTCGGTGAAGGCCACGTAGCTGGGGGTGGTGCGGTTGCCCTGGTCGTTGGCGATGATCTCCACCTTGCCGTGCTGGAACACCCCAACGCAGGAGTAGGTGGTGCCCAGGTCGATGCCGATAGCTGTTCCCTTTGCCATGCTGCTGTCTTGCTCGCTCTCAGTCTCAGACGGGATCGGCGAAATGGACTCGGTGAATGCAGAAAAGGTGCTGCTGCCCTTGCCGGTTCGCTCCGGTTCGGTTCGGTTCGCTGGCGGCTCGCTGACAACGTCAGTCTCTCTCTGCTTCCAATCAGGCTCGCTGATTACAGGGAGCCTGTGGGGTTTTTATTTCTCCATTCAGCCCCGCCTTTTTCCTTCTCAGCCAATCACCGAGCTCATCGAGGCGGCGGGTCGGGAATCTTCCAGCGGGTTCGCTCTAGGTCCAGCCCTGCAGGCTTTCGGTGGCCAATCAGCTCTCTGGGTACCGCCCCTGCCCGAACTCTCCAGACTCTTCTGGGAGACGCCCCTACCCGAACTCTCTAGCGTCTTCGATGAGCCGCCCCCGCCCGAACTCTCCAGACTGTTCTGGGATTCTCGGGAGAGGTCGCGGGGCCGGAGGGGGAGGGGAGGAAGGCGGGGGGAGGACTAGTTCCTCCGGGTGCTGCGCCGCGGCGGTCGCCCTCCCTGACACACTTTCTTAGTCACAGGGAGGCTGGGGACCGTGAGGCTTGGGGCCCGGCCAGCCTGGCAGTCTCAGACTGGATGAAGGGCCGCGCGACCGCGGCCAAGCCCAGAATAGAGAGTTCCCACAGGTCTCGGAGGGGGCGACAGGTCCCTGGGCCCAGAGTCGGGTTGGACTTTGTCGCGGGGGGGGGGGGGGGGGCGGTTGGGGGGAGAGCTGGGGAGGTGCCGGCCGCGCGTCCCTGTGTCACGGTGGAAGTGGGGATAGGAGAGGGGATGCAGTAGACATAAAATAATTTAAACCTACGTGAGGTTGCTGGGGGCTTTGGGTTTTTGCGAAGCAAGTCCGATAAAAGTGGGTTTGCTAATGTGGGACGCGGTGGGGGGAGGGCAGAGGGAAGGGTGCGGCCGCCGGGCTGTACTCGGATTCGGATCCGCCCTCTGCCTTGGGCGACAGTCAGGACGGGGAAAGTTTCCAAGAGCTGTTCAAAGCGTTTTGGACTTTTCCCTTTCTTGTATCTTTCCCCGCGGGGGGGGGGGGGGGGGGGGGGGGAAGGGGGAGAGAGGAGGGGTGTTCCCCGCCTCCCTTTCACCTTCTCAAGTCCAAGTTCAACCTCCCCGGATTACTAGGGCCTGCTTTAACCCCACGATCCTGTCTCTGTTTTCAGCTCTGACCTTGCAACCCTTCATGCTGCCCACGGCTTTTATTAATTTTTGACCCAGTGGAATAACTTAATTTATGCCGAATTATCTCGTTTATACACACATGGCTAAATCTGTACCGCATTTAGCAGCCCATCCAAACAGTCCACAAGTCAAAGCTCTTTGGTTTGAGCAAACCCAGAATTGTTTTTGGTGTCATATTAGTTTCGTTTTTATTTGTTTGTTGTTCTTAGGTGTTTGGGTATTTTCGTTTGTTTGCTTTTGGTGCCAATAGTCATTTAAAATTTATTCTTTTTTATTTTTTTATAAAATTTCTTCTTGAGGGGGCTGGAGCTATAGTACGGTGGGTTAGGGCGTTTGCCTTACATGGCTAATCTGGGTTCAAGTCTCAGCATCCCATTTGGTCCCCTCTCTCCCCCCCCCCCCCCCCCAGCACCGCCAGGAGTAATTCTAGAGTGCAAAGCCAGGAGTAACCCCTGTGCATCGTGGGGTGTGACTCAAAAAAACTTTTCTTGAGTGTTTTGCTAAATTTGAAAAACTCTTGGGTGGGAGAGAGAAAGTGCCCACCAGTCATGCTAACTACCTTGAACCCCTGGCAGCGAATATGGTCCCCAGCATTGCCAGGAGTGACTCCTCTGAGTGCAAGATTGGATTCTCAGCACATCCAAGAGTGATCCCTGAGCAACTGGACATGACCCAAAAAAATAAAAATTTAAAAAAAATGCTTTTGAAAAGCACTAGCACAAAATTAAAAGAAAAAAATAGTTCTTTTTGAAGATGTTAGTGAGCAATACATATTCAAATATATTTTAATGATTTCTTAAGATCTCTTGAATGTTGCCTTTGTGTTTGTTTTTCCTTTATAGATTCCATGAAAACAAATTTGTTTCTTCCTCCACTTGTTTTATTCAATTTATAGTTGTTTTTATAAGCTTTTTTCTAAGTTAAGGAAAAATTCACTTTTGGGACTCTCGTCTTAAATTTAGTACTCCTCAGAGTTAGTAATATAGCTCGCTCTCTTTCCCTTGTTTTGAATTCTTCCTTATTCAAACCTTGAGTTCACCTTTCACTTGAGCTACACATAGCATTCTTTCTCTGCAGTATTACTGAAACTGGTTAGTCATTGTTTGTTCAGTACTAGCAGCATAAAGGTTTTCAGTGCTTCCCCAATTTTGCATGCTTCTAACTTTTTAGATTGTCACTTGAATTTTTAGGCAACAGAAAAATTAAAGATTCTAAAAGTCTTAACTTTTCATTTTCAGTGGGGAATTAATTCCATTTTTGTAATTCTGCTACTCTACATATGTAGAATAGTTTTGGTTTCTGGGCCACACCCAGCACAGTGAAGGAAGCTTGAGGTGCTGAGATCCAACCGTGCCCCTCCTATCCATTGCCCCCCTTTGGGCCCCCAATAAGGGTGTTATTTTTGTTTTTGTTTGGAGGCCACACCCATGGTCTCAGGGCAGTGCTCAGGAGTCACTCCTGATAGTGCTAGGGGACCATATGCACTGCCAAGGACTGAACTAGATGTGTGCAAGGCAAGTGCCTAAGTCCCTGTACTATCTCTCTGACCTCAACACATTTCAGTTGTTTTCCTAAGCAAGTCAATGTTTTAGTTGTCTAAATGGATCTAAACTGATGTTACAAAGAGATTGCTTCAACAACACTGAGTTTAGGGGCCAGAGATGTGGTTCAGTGGTAGAATACATGCCTTGCAAATGTGAGGTAATTGATTTAGTCCCCTTCACTGGGGGAAAAAATATGGGTCAGAGAGAGAGCACAATTAGCTGAGTGCAAGCTTTGCATTTAGAAGGTCTGCGTTCAATTCCTGGCACCACATGGTCCCCTGAACACTACTAGAAGCATCCCTCAAGCACTGCCAGGTTGACAAAAAAAAAAAGACAACAAAAAACAGTCCTGTGTTTGTACAGGTTAGTGGTAAATTTTTAATATTCATATATAACTCCCTAAATGAGTCATCTTCATCTGGTCAAACTGGTTCAACCTCAGGAATTTTCCACTTTTCAATGCAAAACTGACGGGGATCTCCCAAACTTCATCTTAGGTTCCCATTGTATTAAAGCATCGAGAGACCCTTCACCCCACTCTTTCTCCAGAAATTTCCTCCACTATCAGCTGTTACAGATAGCAGTTCTGGATCTACTTCTTCCTACCAAAGCTGCAATTTAGAGATTTCTCTATTGCTCTGATGCAGAGTGAATCATTTTCTCCTCTACTTGATATGGTGACAAGTCCTCAAATTGTGCTGCCACTGGTATAGCAGATAGAGCCATTGGTGCTTCCCATAAATCAATTATCTACTGAAGTTGTCATAATTTCAGCATAATCTCTCTGTGAGATTTAAGTCTAGAATCTAGATATCTATATTCCTTTTGCTTTGTTTTTGGGTCACACACAGTGTTGCTTAGGGCTTATTCCTAGCTCCACACTCAGAGATCACTCCTGGCAGTATTCAGAGGACTATATGAGCTGCTGGGAACCTGGGCTGACAGTCAGTATGTGTGCAAGGCAAACACCCTATCTGCTGTACTATCGCTTTGGCCTCCCTTTACTATTTTTGTTTGCTTGATTTGGAGCCATACCAAATAATGCTCAGGGATCACTGCCGGTGGGACTCTGGATACTGACCACATGGGGATTGAATTCTGGTAAGCCACATGCAACGCAAGCACCTTACCTGCTGTACTGTTTCTGCCCCTTTTTCCTTTTTTTTTTTTTGGTGGGGGGGGCACATATCGGTGGTCAGGACTTACTTCTGGCTCTGCACTCAGGCATCACTCCTGTGGGGCTGAGGGGACTATATGAAGTGCTGGGGAGCCTCCCAGAGTCAGTCCAAGCATCATATTTGCTGCATTAGTGCTCAGGCCCCCTCCAGCCCCTTTTCATTTCTGACAGAGAATTACCTATATTTTGTTTTTCCTTTCACACTAAACACTTCCCACTATAAGAACCCGGACACAGGTTTATTTATTTTTAATTTTTTATTAGTGAATCACCGTAAGGTGCAGTTACAGACTTACAAACTTTCATGCTTGTGTTTCAGTAATACAATGATCGAGTACCCATCCCTCCACCAGTGCTCATTTTCCACCACCAATGGTCCCAGCATCCCTCCTACCACCCCCACCCCATCCCCTCCACCCTACCCCACCTCTGTGGCAGGGCATTCCCTTTTGCTCTCTCTCTTTGGGTGTTGTGGTTTGCAATAGAGGTATTAAGTGGCCATCACATTCGGTCTATATTCCACATCTCCCATCCCGAGTGGACCCTCCTAGCACCATTTTCTAGGTGGTCCTTTATCTGAGCTGACTTCCCCCCCCCCCCCCCCAGCATGTGAGGCCAGCTTCTAAGCTGTGGAGTTAATCCTTCTGGTACTTATCTTTACTATTCTTGGGTGCTAGTCTCCTGTTCTGTTACTTTATATTCCACAAATGAGTGCAATGTTTCTATGTCTGTCCCTCTCTTTCTGACTCATTTCACTTAACATGATACTTTCCATGGTGATCCACCTATATGAAAATTTCATGACTTCATCTTTCAGTCACAGGTTTAATTTGTGCCCAAGAGCCCCAAGAGATTTCACAAATGTTTATTTTCAGAGTTAGTTTTTGTTTGGTTAGGGCCATACCTCGCTGTATTCAAGGTTTATGTTTGGCTCTGTGCTCAGGGATCACTGCTAGCAGTACTCAGAGGATCATACGTGTGGTGCTGAGGATTGAATCAGAGAGCACATTAACCCTGGTGCTATTTCTCTGGGCCACTTTAGGTTTTTCTTTCATCACACCTGGTGGGGCTAGAGGCTGTTTGGGAGTTTCTACCACTTTAGCACTAGAGGAGGTCACCCCCAGCAGCACTTTAGTTAATATTTAATTTTTTAAATTGACTCGCCATGAGATACAGTTACAGAGCTTTCATTATTGAGTTT